TGTTTTATATTTGTTCAAAAATTTTCTTCTAGTGTCTTCACGGTAGACTGGCCCACGATCTTCACAGCAGCCAGAGTCCAGCTCCTCTCTCTTATGAGAGTCTGACATTCTTAGCATTATATGGCCTGGCTGAAAATGACCCTTCCATATTTGGTTGGGGTGGCAGGGAGGAGAAAAGTAAAAAGATTTCCTAGACCCTTGTGAACACTTTAACTGCTGCTTTTAATTATGTGTGGTCACTGCGGATTATTCTGCAACATTTGAAAAGAGGTGTGTTGTCACACGGATGTCACTATAGCCATGAGACCTAAATTGTAGAATGAGGCACAGCCATTTGGTTTTGACCAGGCAGGTAACAGCTTATAGTTCCCATTGGTATGTTGAAGTAAGTAGCGAGTATATAACCCACAAAGTGGCCTCACTCACAAAGTGATCATTTTCTTTAGTAATGAAGTGCCCTCGCGTGGCCCCAGTGTAGAGAGCTGCTTTATACTGACTTCCGTTTTGTATTAATAAATAATGTTGTGGCGAGGTTGTCTATATATCTGGAGTTTATAGAGCTTCCTGTCTGCATAGTTGGACTTTCACAGGTCAAGTCACAAGGGTCTGAGGATAAATGATACTGTGACGTTGCCTGGTCTGACACTTACATGGTAAGTGCTCGATTTTTAAATTCTCCAACAAATACAGATGAGTTTGAGAGGAGCCTCATATTCTGGTGTTCTACAAGATGACTCTCTGCTGAGTGGAATCTTCCACTTAATCTACTTTGTCTTTCCGGTTTTCTCTAGATGCATCTAGCTTTTCTAATTTATTCAATCCTTCCTCCTTGACTGCATCATTGTCTTTTCTGACCATTTCTATATGCGTCCTCTACAAACTACTTTGTCTGCTTTTATATCTGTTCTTCTTTTGTGCACTATGGACGTAGCCTTCTTAGAAGCCTGTAAAATCATGAATACCTTAGGATAACCTTTAGGATAAGCTATTCATCCTGTGTTTCTGTGACCCAATATGCTTATCTGTCTTTCCCCTTTTCCTTTTCTGCCCCTTTATTTCAATCTGTTTTCTTCATCTCTGACCTTAAATCTTTAGCTCTAAAGACCTTTGACCTGTTTCCCAAGCCTGCAACTTCCCTCTAGACATTTCCTTCCGAGATGTCTCGTCATCTTCCCAGACTCCCAAACCCCAAATTTATCTTCCTCATTCCCAAGATGACTCCTCCCACTGACTTCCCTGTTTCTCTTGGTCACACCACCTTTCTCCCTGTCAGAGGCGTCACCATACCTAAGGTCTCATCACTGCTTTTTTTCCTTCCCTTGTCTTTCTATGACTCTATTTCTTGCTCCATAGCTTCGTTTCTAATCTGTCTCCTCCCCGGTTTCCCACCTCCAGACTCTCCTCCATTGGATCCATTGTGCTAAGGAAGCCTGGGTAACCTTCCTAAATGACATTTTCCTATTAAAGACATTCATTGGATTCCTAGGTTTTTTCAGTGGCAAAAAAGGAGGTATCTCAGCCTGACATTCACAGTGGGCCCTTTTTATACTCTTTTCCTTGGAACGTGCTGAGTGCCTACCCTTTCCTCTTGCTAGGCCTGTCTCTCTCCTGCATTCTTCATCCCATACATACTGGGCTTTTTCCCTCCTCTGAATCTTTACCAGTGCTTGTCCCCCTCATCCCTCCCTACCTTCTGTCTATATTCTATCCATAGTGAAAGGTCATCTGAGGATCCTTCCCTGATCACCCCAGCTGCAGAGAGTTATCCTCTTCTGAAATAGGCAGCACCACTCTGCTTTTGAACTAATACCTTCTCTGTAAGAGTACTCAAATAATTGGGAAATAGGAGAAAGACAAAAAATTACTTTGTCCTATATATTCTTTTGTTCTTCTTGAATTTTATACTGTGTGCATGTAGTGCTTATTTAGTAAAATAAAATTTTAACATATATTTAGCAAATGTATTTTTAGAAATAGCAAGTTATTACTCTGTATTATGCATTAATTTTCCATGAACATGTGTATTGGTTTCCCCATATCACCTAACTCAGTACAATGAGTACCTAGTAGGAGCTCAGTTAAGAAGCTGGGTGAATAAGTGGCTGGAAGGGTGAGGGATGGAAGGAAGAAGGCAAGAACAAATAAGAGGCAGTCTTGGGCCTGACCTAGCTCTTCTTCCTGAGTAGTTTCAAAACTGAAGGGGAAAGGATCACTTTTGCCTTCTTATAGTTTCCTAAGAATGGAGACAGTTTATCTCCTTCCCTGGCTAGTTAGAGTCTTAATCTGATAGTTAAGAATTTTTTCTGTCTAGGATTTTATATATAGAAAATCCTAGGAACTCAACCAAAAAAAAACTGTTAGAATTGATCAGCAAATTCAGTGAAGTTGTAAAATACAAAATTAACATACCAAAATGAGTAGTGTTTCTATACACTAACAATGAATGTTCTGAAAAAGAAATTGATCCCATTTATAGTAACATCAAAAACAATAAAATGCTTAGCAATATATTTAACCAAGGAGATCAAAGATCTCTACTCTGAAAGCTACGAGACATTGATGAAAGGGATCAAAGAAGATACAAATAAATGGAAAGGTATTCCATTTTCACGGATTAGAAGAATTAATACTGTAAAAATGGCAATACTACCAGATGCCATCTGTAGATTCAGTGCAATCCCTATCAAGATGCCAATGGTATTTTTTTATATGGAAATAGAAAAAAACACTCCTAAAATTTATTTGGAACCACAAAAGACCCTGAATAGCCAAAGAAATCCTGAGAAAGAACAACAAAGCAGGAGGCATCACACTTTCTGATCTCAAACTATACTATAGAGCTATAGTAATTAAAACAGTATGGTACTGGCATTAAAACAGACACATAGACCTCAGGAACAGAATCGAGAGCCCAGAAATAAACCCAAGGATGTACAGTCAACTAATATTTGACAAGGGAGACAAGAATACTCAATGGAGAAAGTCTCTTCAATAAATGGTACTGGGAAAATTGGATATTCACATGTCAAAGAATAAAACTAGACCCCTATCATGTACCACACACAAAAATTGATTAAAGACTTAACTGTAAGAAACCATGAAGCTCTTAGAAGAAAACATAGGATCAAAGCTCCGTGACCTGGGTATTGGTGATTACTTTTTGGAAATCATATGTAAAGTACAAGCAACAAAATCAAAAATAAACAAGTGGGACTACATCAAACTGAAAAGCTTGTGTACAGCAAAAGAAACCAACAAAGTGAAAAAACAACCTAGAGAATGGGAAAAAAATATTTGCAAACCATGTTTCTGATAAGGGGTTAATATCCAAAATGTATAAAGAACTCATACAACTCAATAGCAAAAACAAAAAAAATCCAATTAAAAAATGGGCAAAGGATCTGAATAGACATTTTTTCTTCAGAGATGTGTGAATGGCCAACAGGTGTATGAAAAGATGCTCAACATCACTAGCCATTAGGGAAATGCAGATTAAAACCACAATGAGGTATCACCTCATGGCTGAATGGCTGTCATCAAAGAGACAACAAATGCTGGCATAGATGTGGAGAAAAGGCAACCCTTGTGCACTGTTGGTGGGATTGTAAATTGGTATAGCAACTATAAACAGTATGGAGGATCCTAAAAATATTAAATATAAAACTACCATATGATCCAGCAATTCTACTTCTGGGAATATATCCAAAGGAAACAAAAACACTAACTTGAGAATACATCTGCACTCCCATGTTCATAGCAGCATTATTTACAATAGCCAAAACATGGAAACAACCTGTGCTTATCAATAGATGAATGGATAAAAAAAAGCTGTGGTATATATATAGACAGTGGAATATTATTCAGCCATTAAAAAAAACCCAAGGAAATCCTACCATTTGCTACAACATGGGTGGACATTGAAGGTATTTTGCTAACTGAAATAAATCTGACAGAGAAAGACAAATACTGTATGATCTCACTTATATGTCAAATCTATATACAAAAAACAAAACATCAAGCTTATAGACAAAGACATAAGATTTGTGGTACAAGAGGCAGCAGGGGGCGGGGGGAGAGGTGTAGGAGGAAGGAATTGGAAGAAGGTGGTCAAAGGTACAAACTTCCAGTTGTAAGATAAATAAGTACTATGGACGTAATGTACAACATGACGACTATAGTTAGCACTGCATTATGATATAGCAAAGTTGTTAAGAGAGTGGATCCTAAGCGCTCTCAATACAGTGATAATTTTTGTCTTTTCTTTTTTTGTATCTAAATGAGATGATGGATGTTAACTAAACCTATTGTGACAATCGTTTCAGAACATATTTAAATCAAACCGTCATGCTGAACACCTTAAACCTTTTACAGTGATATATGTAATTAATTCTCAATAAAACTGGAAAAAAAATTCTTCCTGTCTACTGTTCCTCACCCACACCCACACAAATAACTAAATAGAATGTAGGGGCCATTTTTGTAATTTGGGAATACATACTTAGATCTGTGTAGCTCCACCCAGCATTATGAGTTCAGGAACATCTGCATTCTGCCTAGTGTGAGCAGGGGTTTCAGGGGGAGCATCTTGTCTTCAGTTGAGAGGTTCCCTCTCCGCCCCACTCCACCCCTGCCCCCTTAGCAGTAGCTTTCCCCCAGTCTCTGCAGCCACTAGAAATGCTCCCACACATCCCCAAATGTCCAGGGTAGTGAGACGGCACGCACACTCCCCACTATGCCCCCCACTCTCACAGTCCAGGGCATGTTCACCCTTAGGGCTCAGTTTGATATGGTGGGGGGAGGGGTCATTTGGAGATGATACATGATTAAGCAATGATGTTCGTTAAAGGTAGTCATATTTCAAGACCAGGGAGCATATGCCTTGCTATATGTGTTTTTGAGGTAGATCTTTGAAAAGCAACACAAACAGTACTAAATAGCTACTGCCCATTTTTGGTCCCCTCCTCCTGGTGGTAAATCTTATTTTTCTATTTCTCTTTCAGAGCATGCTTGAGAAGGGAGGATAAAATCAACTTTTAGAACAAGCAGAATTCCTTCAGCGTTAATTCCAGAGGTGGAACATTTTTTTTTTTCCTAGTAAGAAAGCAACTCATTTAAAGAGAAGACCATTAAAGAGAAGCATCAGAGAGCAGATTCAACAGAAGCATATCACAGTTTGATCAGCAACAGTTTGAAAAGCCAAGGCCTAGATCAGGGATCAGCCATCAAGGGCTTGCTACAGTGTTAATAAATCCATTTATGATGATTAAAAAGAAAGGCAGTCCTCTCCACCTTCTGTGGACTTTCTATTCAACTTCCTCTTCTAACCAAGCTCCATCATTGGATGAACCTGCCCTCCCACAAAGCTGGGAGTTGGGATCGAGGGCTGAGGTCACTGGGGTGGGGAGAAGAGAAGGCCAAACCCCTCCATCTCGGTCCAGCAGTGCTGGGTGGAATTGGCTAGGCTGTGACATGTTGGGTTTCTCTCTTTTTCTTTTCTCCCTTAACTATATAAGAGCTACTTTATTTTAACTTATTATGGTGATCATGTAAGAAGACAAAAAGGAGAGAAAATGTACCTCTTTTACTGGAATAATGTTTCTGATTATGAGTGAAATAAGGCATTTTCTATCAACATGAAGGCAACCTTGGCTTCTGCAACCTCTCGTCTATCATGAATACTGACATCTTTACTTCACTCACTATCAATAATAAATATATTTTCTGATGAAGACTGTCACTGTAGTCTGGGGCCTCGCGTGTTTTTGTTTTTTCCAGGTTAGATGGTTATACTTATGGGAATTGAGTTGATTTATATTGTTATTAATTTGTATTTGTGTGGTGCCTTTACTCTAAAAAGCTCCAACACACTTTGCAGATCCTCAGACAGGCAAGAGATGCTTATAATTTACCTCTCAGGTACGTAACATTCAGTAAGATCTTTACAAATTGCATGAACCTTCCTTTCTTTGGGATGACCAAAATCATCCTGCCTGGGGCAAGCACTAGATTAGATAACCTTGGTTAGGAACTTCTGACCCTGCAATACTAGGAAAATGTTAAAAGGAAAAAAAAAAATTGACCCTGAGACTTGATGAAATTGGAAAGAAAAGAAAAACTTCCTGATTATAACTCTCACTTTTCTACCAGAGGACTGGTGCTTCAACACTGGAAGTTGGAAATGAGCATTCACACCAAATGGAAAGATCTTTCTGGGAAATAGATGAAAAAGAGAATGCTAGTGATCTGTGATGTCATCTGAATATCTTTTGTCATGTAGAATTTTTATTTCATTTTTATTTTGTTACAGAAGGAGATAATTTAGCAAAATAATTAAGATAACAGGCTCTGGAATAAGATGCATCTGTGTTCAAATAGTGACTCTGCTACCTACCACCTGGGGGACCTAATTACGTCACCCCACCATACTAAGCCTCAGATTCCTCAACTGTAAATTGAGGGGAAATGCAAGAACCTGCTTTGTAGGCTTATGGTGAAGAGTCAAGATGCTTTCCACATACAGTTGGTCGAGTCCATTGTCGTTGGATATGTGACTATAATAAACTGGTGTTTGGAGCTGGGGGCATGGAAAGAACATCCACATGTCTTTTACTTAGAGAAAGTTGGGAGGAATGCAACTTGTGTCAGGAAAATTTCAAGCAGCCCCCTTACATGTCATTCTGGCTTCTCACACATCTGATTCCCGAGTCGGCTCCATTTGAATGGCATCTTCGTGGACACTTGTGGGCACACCTGTAAACCTGATGTTGATTCTGAATGACCTTGGGGACGCTTCTCAGATAATTAGTGAAAGGCTCTGTGATTCTGTTTAATGAAAGCGTTGTTTTGTTTGTTTAAATGATGCAGAATAAGCTGCATTCATCTAAGTGTGAGTGATGGAAGCGCTGGTAGCTTGAGCAGCAGCACAGTCTGGCACTGTCAGGAAGGCATCCAGGTAACTGCCTGGGAGAAATAATAGGTACACGAAAACAAATGTGTACATGGCGACTGGCTGTAGTGTTTGCAAATCAGCGAACTCACAGATTCCCTCCTATACTGCTTTGTTTTGCAATTTAGAGCCAAGAACTTGGCACATCCCAGGCTGCCAGTCTTGTTGCTGGCAGAGAAATAAAGCACTGAAGAGTCAGGCATTTAAAGCTGGTTAAATCCATGAAAACGGGAGGTGGTTTGTCAGGACCTCTCTCTCCCAGCACCTGTTATTAACGTCTCATTCTGATGAACATGATGGGCACAAGCGGGAAAGACCACACTTCAGGAGAAATAAAAGGGTGAAATGATGCCTTTTCCTGCACCTCGGAGATCTCCCTGTTAATTGCATCACAACTTAGCCCAGGTCACTGTTAACCTCAGGACAACTGCTTGGGGAGAATGTTGTGATCTGTGTGAGGCTCATGGGAGTAACATATTCCAATCAGTTAGCATCTCCATTAAGTAGAACACGCCTTGAACCACAACGGTTTAGCTCATGAAGCCAGGAAGAATAAAGTATCCTGAAAGCAGGTCAGATGTTATAACGCTAAACTAACGTCTGGTGAACTTCCAGAAGACAGTGGGGTCGAAATCAGCACAAACTCCTCCCTTTGGAAAGTCAATAACTTATTACAGAAAACGTGCCAACGTGCAACAATTTAAAAAATTACGGACTGATCATTATTAATAGCAAACGTGGAGTGCTAAAAGCCAGGTGCTTGTGGCCTGCTGGTCAACCAGTGAGACTTCTCTCTACAGCAGCTCTAGGCTGCCGGTGTTTTGCTTCGAACTAAACAAGCGGCCAGGTGTCCTCACCTTCTCTGGCTTAGGAGTTGGGAACCTGTGGTTCTTAGTTTGACATCTTTCAGCCCACAGGTATAATTGCTTTCATCAGAAACCCACAGGATTATCCTCTTCCCCGTTTCTGTGAGCTGTAGGAGTTGACCCTTTCAAGATTTAAGAACTAGAGCAGTTGAACAGTTGAAAGGGTAGCAATAACTTACTGTGATGATTCTGCTTTGAGTTACAATTCTTGACAAGCGAATACTTTGAATGAGTGAATTAATGTATATTTGTTTTCTTTGTCACGGCTTCCCCAAGTTTTCATCCATTTCTCAGCTTCCCCCCCCCCCCCGCAGTCGCTCCATCTTTATTGCCTCCTCTAGACTCTTCTGTGTATTTAAACTTTTCTCACCCTTCTTGGCCTTCCAGGCCCACCTCCTGAGACATATGGCATCGTCTTGGGTGCAGAATCCTGGGCTCTTGCTCTGAGTTCTGTGCTGTTGCCTCTTGGAACAAGTCCCTTCCCCTCAGGTTTCTCTCTGCCCAGTGGCCGGCTCTGGTTCTTCTCCATTATAACAAGAGATTTTTGATACTTCCTTTTCTTCCCCAAGCTCCTAGTTCTTAAACTAGTTATATATTTAGAACGTCTTATCATTTGGTCATTTTCTGTGTTTGTAGTTCTTAATTTGTAAACCCGGTAAATGGAACTTTTAAATTCTCTGGGAAAAGACGTAAATTTGTATTTAGTTCTCTGTGGCCTTTGATTGTATTTTTCCTATAGTTTATGATCCTCATTAGAGAAATGGTTTCCCATTACTTGCCCCAGGGGATTTACTGAGTGGGTGGGCTGTGTCCCTTCTGAAATGTTGCCTTAGGACTTGGACCCTGTTTGTGCCAGTGAGACTCACAATCCAAACCACCCCCAGAACAGGAGACCTTGATGCTGGTGCTGATACCTGCATTAGTCTGAACACCACGTGGGCTGGTTAATTCACATCCACAGTTTATTTTAAAATGTATGCTAGACATTTGTTTTAGCCTCTTGTCTTGCTGAGTCCTTGAAAGACTTCAGAACGTTATAGTTTTCAGTTTTCACTCTCTCCTTCCCTTGACCTACTGGGTGTCGGAGGTGCCAACAGTGACTAAAACCATGTAAAGGCAATTAACGGGAGAGGATAAGGACATACTATTCGTAAGATGGAATGCTGGCTCTTGGCGCTCCAAGCTGTGTGGAGAGAAGGACTGGGCATTATCCCCATAAACTCCTTTTCATTCTCCAGCTTCTGTCATTCAGAGTCCACTATAATGCGAAGAGAGAAGTCACTTTTAGTTATTTCAATTTAGATGATCTGCAGCTATATCCATCTTACTGTCATCCCCATACCCTACGTGAGATGGGAGTAGTCAGTGATTTTCCAGGCTCGGTGGAATAGGAAACTTTGAGGCCACCCTTGTATCCCAAGGAGGTTGACTCCTGCCCCGATGTACCTTGGAGAGCACTCCTTGGTGAAGGATGGTGGATTGACTTGATAAGCACCAGAGACAAAGGGAACTTGTTCTCCTATACCTGGAGTGAGATCACCTCACTCACCTGACAAGGTCCCTTACACTAAGAATTTTGGCCAAAGTACCAGATAGCTTAAGGAACTTTCAATTCCATTCAAAGAAACCCAAAAAACAGTCACTGGGAGAAAAACGACCAGCCATCTAATTCATTCTCCTAGCTCCAGGCTGATGTTTGAATGAAGATGATGAAATTTTCATCTTGTGTCTCCTGGTGCCTCCAGCCTCAGTTTTGCTGGCAGAGCCTCTATAAAAAGAGTTGAATTGCTGTAGAGGAGAAAGCAAAAGTCATTATCCAAATCAAAAGTGTCTTCCGCTTTTCCTACCAGTTGTCTTGAACCTTCCAAACAGACCCTCAGCCTTCTCCAGACCATGAAAGCATTCCCTGTATTTTAGGGGACGGCCCAGTGTTAAACCCAATTTGGATTCAGGAAATGTGGCCACCATATTTATGACTTTCAGTTAAGGAAGTTGGAAACTGAAAATTGAAACTGTCATGTTCAGTCCCTGAAACTCCTTCAAACCAAGTCAACTCTAAATGGAAAACAGCTGTGCTTCAATTTAATGAAATGCTTCAAACCTCTTGAAGTGAGTGTGATAAGGTGAGGTCTCCACACACTTCAAAGATTTTCCCGTGCCGAAAAGCTTGACTTCCCTCACCTCTCTGTCCCCCTACATGTCTCTGCATCTCCTGCGAGGATCCTTACTGGGCTGTGGCCATTGTTACTTTGCTGAGAGGGCAGTCTGCTTTGAATAGCACCCTTCAAAGTAAATTACATTTCCACAATGGTTTTTAAATGCAAATGTGGAAGCCAGAGGTTAGTGGCCACCTTGCAGGGTACCACTCTGCTCCAGCTATGCCTTTCCTACCTAGACTTTGTCCCGGGAGTGGCCCGCCTGGGCTGGACTCCAAGTGGCCCATATTCGGGGAGCCGCCTGCAGTGCCCTTCTCCGTCGGGTCCGCCTACTGGCCAGGCTGCTGCTGGGCCCTCATCATGTCCACAGCATAGGTTGAAAGGCTGTACTCACTCATTCCTCACTGGAGAATATATACAGTAAGGTTCAGGGCCAGATGACTGAGGCCAGTTGCTGCTTCTCTGCTGCCTGTGCAGTTCAAGAGACATGGGTAAAAAACGTTTTCTTCATTTCATAGCCACAGGCCAGGTTTCTCAGCATGAAACCAGAAACGCCATGGCAACCTGCAAATTTTAGCTTTGCCTTGCATCTCCGTAGGGTAACGTGCACCCTGGTCTCAGAAGCATGACCACAGAGTTACTGAAAATATTATTCAACAGAGTTGAAGTGGCAGTGTCATCTTATTTCTAGCTTGGAAGGCCGGCTGCAGAGCAGGGGCTGGTAGCTCTGCTTTTAAAAGAGGGTGAATAGGGTGTTAGCTCACCTGCTGGTGG